TCGGAAACAAAGTGGACAGGCCACAGTAAATATTCCCAGTTATGTTGTCTTCACATCATATTTTATGCAAAGATAGATGATGATGCATGCTTGAAATATTCCCTCATGTGACATTTGCTGTTCCCGGATCTTCTGATGCTCTCTGGCTTATGCTTTTTGCTTTGACTGCATGGCAGCTGCTAGGACCATTGCCCTGAATGCAATCACAGAAACCCGGTGGTAACTTGGCACACATCAGTAAACCCTTATATAAATGTTCTTCATCAAAGTGACATTTTCCCCCATTTGTAAGTCTGAAGGATAGTATTACAGCACCATTTTGTATTTTTGGAATCGTCTCTATAGTCATGGAGTCGGCTTCTGCTTTGCCCTAATGTTTCTCTCACCCTCCTTTCCTGTAGTCTTTTCTTGCCTCACATTCTGACTTAGATTTTCACCAGCTGTTTTCTCACTCTTTGAAGTTAATCCCATCAGAGGAGGATCTCCTTTATCACCAGAAAGAGCAAGAGTCAGAGAGAAAAGATAACTGAGCTACACTAAGCTTTCAGTCATCAATAATCAACACAGAGCAAGAAGCCAACAGCAGCCTGTCACTGAGAAGAGTTTTTATGATCGCTGTAGTCATCTTTTATGACTGCATATCATCTGATTATAAATGTTTACAAAAAGGGTAGTTCTGTGTTGGAGCAAAAAATAACTGAACTCAGGGATTGAACAGTAACAGACAAACATTTTTGCAATGTAATTTTGGTAACACATACTTTAGGTGGCACAAATACTTAGAAGTAACTCAGTCATGAACAAATATAGTAGCTACTTGATTAAAAAAATGCACCATGATTCATTAATGATGAACAAACATGAGACCAGTATTTCACTTGTGTTATTCATGACTTGTTCCTTCAGTAGTTCCTTAGTAGTTCCTTCAGTTGTTCAGATAAAACATGCATCACGATTCATTAATAATGAATTAACATGAGATGATATGTAACTAAGACTTAGTTTGTGGTTAATTAATACATAATAGCATAATACTACATTATTTGTGCCCCCACAAGTAAAGTGCAGGTTTAATTTTGGTGTCACTCATTTATACACTGACCCTCATAAACACTGACCCTCATGTACACTGACCCTCATAAACACTGACCCTCATAAACACTGACCTTCATATACACTGACCCTCATATACACTGACCCTCATAAACACTGACCCTCATAAACACTGACCCTCATATACACTGACCCTCATAAACACTGACCCTCATGTACACTGACCCTCATAAACACTGACCCTCAGGTACACTGACCCTCATAAACACTGACCTTCATATACACTGACCTTCATATACACTGACATGTACAAGATGCGTGAGATTCTGGGTTTTATTGTGCAGAAGTTGCACCACTTGAAAGTGATCAGCACCATCAATCTGCATGACCTTGTGAAAGCCATCACATGCGACACAGAAAACATTAAGTGCATGTACGGAGAATGTTCTGAATGCAAAGACCTCTCTTGCCCAGTCTCTAGCCAGTACAAATGCAGAGAGTCAAGTGACGTATCTCCAGTGGGCAATAGTGGATAAGGAACACAAGAATGACCCCAGTGGCAAAACATCTAAAATCACAATCAAAAAAGAGTTCCAGACCACACAAGAAGAACTGCTGGAACTGCTGAACCTGCAACTGCATAGGTTTAAGAGACACACTTACAAAATCAATAATCAGTTTAGCCACTATAGGGCACTGAGACATGGCTTGAAAGCACATGAATGTCTAATTCATGTTGACTTTTCAGAAAATTACCTCTGCAAGTACAGCACAGAAATACAGGCAGTCCACTTCGGAGCATCACACCAACACACGGGTGTGTTTTATGTGCATACATCCCCCCGCCCGATGTCCTTCTGCACAGTGTCCCCCTCAAGACAAACGGGCCCACCAGCAATTTGGCAGCACTTGTCACCACTGCTTAATGACGTGCAGGTTGCACATCCGGAGGTCTCCACCTTCCATTTTTACAGTGATGGCCTTTTCACTCAGTATAGACAGTGAGGGAATTGTTTCATGTTTTGTACTGAGCTGTTCAGAAGAGGATTCACTGCTGGGACGTGGAACTTCTTAGAGGGGAGCCATGGGAAGGGTGCCCCAGATGGTGTGGGAGGAGCCCTGAAGAGGACGGCTGACAGTCTGCTCAGCAAAGGGACAAACATTCCTAATGCTGCAGAGCTGTATGCTGTGTTGCAAAAGGCAGAAACAACAATCATGTTGTTTTTTGTCAGTGAGGAAGCAGCAGAGGAAGCAGGTTTGGAGATGCCCAATTATGTGCCACCTATTCCGTTCACCATGCGGATGCATCAGGCAGTGACCCTTGCCCAAGGAGAACTGACATACAGGGACGTCAGCTGCTTGTGCACAACAAAACAAAACCTGACCTGTGACTGCTTTAATGCAAAGCATTTCACGTTTAGTCATCAACAGACGGCTCCCACAGCCATGGAAGTTCAGTGGCAAAGTCCTGAAGTTGTTGGCAAATGGTGTATGGTGAAGTACGAGGGTGACCTATACCCTGGCATCATCACAGATACAAGTGAAACACATGTTGAGGTCCGTTGCACAAAATTGGGGTCAACAGGTTTTTCTGGCCAGCACGTGAAGACGTGCTTTGGTACCTTTTTGAGGATGTTTTGTGTATCATGCCACCCCTGAGGCAAGTCACATGTCGCTATATGGAAATCGAAAAAGAACTCTGGGCCACACTAGAGAAGATCTCTTAGAAAAGGCCAGACAAGGTTGTTTTCATGCACGCACACAAACACACACACACACACACACACACACACACAAATGCACGCACAAACACACCCACACGCACACAGACACACACACACATGCACGCATACACACACGCACGCACACACAAGCACATGTCTCTGTTACCCAAAGTTCATTCCTGTTACCCAGTGTTCATTCCTGTTACTTGATTATTTTTATTAAAACAAATAAAGATAAGCCACTTTTTTTCCAATTATGTCTGGTCCATCATTTATCCATTTGTTTAATAAATTACATGATAAAAAATTTTATCAAAAAAAATTATAAAAAAAATTTAATCAATTTCAGGTTTGGGTCTTGAAAATATAAAATGGCTTTGCATCTTTTGGAAAAATACAACGTGCATGCCTATATAGTGATTTTTTTTTAGTCATAAATATTATTTGAACATGTAGTCAACCATTTCTTTAAAATAAACACTTTCTTGAGAGAATATCAAATGAATTAGTTGACATACTTTTAAACATGCTTTTTAAGTTTTGAGTTTTGGTAACAGGACTGAGAAAAATGTAACCATCTTTGGCTTAGACCAGGCCAATAGAGCTAGCTAGCTAACTTGTGAGATATCATTAGCTAGCACAAAACCTGACAAGTCAAAACACAGCAAGTTAGTGGAAATGTAACAAGTGATGATTTAAATCCCTTGGCTCCATTGTAAACATGAAATGTAACATTAGCCCCTTCTTTACTCGCATTTTCTATTAGTTAAAAGTTACAGTATGTTAGCATACATGTCCATGTTTATGTATTATAAACAAGCTAGCTGCATGGATGTAGACATAATTAGCGTGAAACATAAGAATCCTCATTTTCATGCTGTTTTGCCATAGTTTCATTGTTAATCCAAAACGTGCCTCTAGTGTAACTGCCCTATTGTGTTACTTTTACCTCATTCTAGTCCTGACAAGCCACAACATAGCAAGCTAAACAAATGCAACTAAGGAGTTACGTGGTACAGTATATACCATGAACCTGCATCTACACTCAACTTATGTGGATCACAGATCAGTTCCTTGTAGAAAGGTTCTTAAAAATAAAACTATTTATATATTTGGTGTGTGAGGTCTAATATTCAAGATAAATACTCAGATAAAGCATATTTATCAGGTTTCACATGCATAGCCTTAAACAGAGCACCCCAACCTGGGCCATCCATAAATAACACCAGGTCCTCTGCCCATTCTGCCATCGACTTAAATCTGGGTTTAACATGTACTAAGGCCAAATATGCACTTTGGGCACAGAAATACCAATATATGGGCATGTCACACGTACATGAGCCTTATGCTCATTCTGCCATCGACTTAAATGCTTTTAAGAGCGTTTTTAACTACACACTCTGGAAGGCTATTTTAAGTCAAGCACCTCATGTAATAAAACAAAACGTGTCACATTTATTATACATCAAGAAATAAATGTCATAGTCCAAACCAGAAATATAACTGGAAAGGGCAGCTGTCGGAATGACAACACTGTATTCCCCGGACAGCCCCGTCACCTGCTCTGCTCATGTAATCCATACTCCTCACACACTCACCAATCTGTACAATTACTAGGAGTATTGTATGGATTAACTGGAAATGTTAATAAATGTTTTTACCTAAATGTTCTGAGACCTATAAGTGTCATTTATATTATGTGTATTTTTATATGTCTGCATATTTATGTTCCATGTATTTTCTCATTTGCACTGTGTTCTGGAATTTTCCTGTTTGGACTGGTCTTCCTTCCCCAACCCCAGCATTATACGGCCTGTACCACAGGGGTGCCCAACCAACTGGTCGATCCCGGTTTATTTCCAGGTTGATCACAGGAGATGATTAATGGATAATGCATCATTTCATTGGTGGCTGACTATTTGTTTGCAATCAGCGAAATATACCAAGGGAACCCCCCCCCCCCCAAGCGGCAAAATTTACTAAGGGGGGATCAGCATCACATTCCCAGGCTGCAGTTTTGTTGCCAGTCCACCCCTGCCAAGGTGAATTGGTTTAGTCTTGACTCTTGGTTGATGTGTTGCGGGACTGGGAATGTACTGATGCTCGAGTGTCAAATTAACACTTTGAAAGGGTTTAAGTCATCAGGTGCCCAGTTAGAAAAGTGACAATGAGTATAATAAATATGCATGTAATGAAATGGGCCAGTGTCACGATGGGACACAGTAAAGGATGCAAAGGATTTATTACAGACTGAATACAAGACAGGAAGCAAAACGATTACAACCTATCTTGCACATTATTAATTTGGTTACGCTTCAGGTCACATCATAAGGTGTGTGATTGTGTTGACTAGGTCCTGATCTCAGTAAGGGGAATTTCCAATGCTGTAAGCTAACTTAAAATATGTCTATATTATACTAATATTTTGCATCTTTTGTGATATATTAAGTCGTTTGGGGTGTCATGCCTAGAAATAGTCAAAGAGGTTTGGTTCCTGTTCTAAAAGTTTGAGAAATATGTGCATAATACGTATATTTAAGCACTTTGAGTTATGTGCTTGATGGAAAAATAGGATCCGTAGAGTGATGATGACTGAGCAAAACTCACTGTTCTGTTTAGATAAGACAGTGAGCTAATTGTCACTAGTACAGAGCAAGGGGTGTAAATATTTTTTTTCCAACAATTACAATTTTTCAAACTTCCCATACAAAACTACTTTAGATCTATTCTGCATCACACCTCCTGGCACATTTTCATCTGCCCCCAAAACTTAGACAGCAAGGTGCTCCTGGATTGGCTGCTGCTTGACAAATGTATGCCGCTGTTATTGGAGGATACTTGTTGCCCAGCATGGCAGCAGCTGAGCACCCTGAGAACTTTGTCCCTGAAGTCATCAGACACATAGTTGTAGATGAAGGGATCAATGCAGGGACCAAAGCAGCTGAAGGCCAGGCTGACTACATAGGGCACATAGAGGTTGTACTTGTTGTTTATGCAGTACAGAAGCAGGACGATGTTGCTGGGGAGGAAACATGCAAGGGAGACCAGCAAGACCAGGGCGGTGAGGCACGCAGCGTGGGAGTAGCGGTGCCCACTGGCCAGAAGGGTCTTCAGCACGGCGCCATGGCAGAACACAGTTACCAGCAGAGTGAGTGAGAAGCAGAAACCAAAAAGGCCTACGTAGGGGAAAAAGGAAGTGGCCGAAGCAGTAGTGTGGACATCATAACAGGTGTTGATGGGAGGGTCGTTCAGCTGGTAGGACTGGCGAAAGAGTAACAGGGGTAGCATAGTCAACAGGACCACCACCCAAACGGACACACTCATGGCCAGGGAGGTGCGATGGCTGCGCAGGGTCAGAGCACTATAGGGGTGAACCAGAGCTATATACCGGTCTATGCTGATAAATGCCAGGCAGAGCACAGAACCATACATGCTACCGTAGATCAGAGCCATGACCAGTCGGCACAGTGGCTCGCTGAAGAACCAGTTCAAACCAGCAAAGTAGTAGATGATGCGGAAGGGCAACATCAGAAGGAGGAGCACATCCAGCACTGCCAGGTTGATGAGGAGGATGGTGGATGGGATCTTCTCCATGTGAAAGATCATCACCCACAGGGACAGAATGTTTGGTGGGAGCCCAACAAGAAATGCAACCGAGTAGAGGAGGGGCACCACAATCACGATGGTGGAGCTCTGGATCTCCTGCTTGTCCTCTAACACCTGGATGACATCACAGGGCATGTGGTCGTCCGGTAACTTTGTGATGACTGCTTGACGCATTCCACCTAATAAGAGACAGGACCAGAGGAGTGCAATGAGTATCACCTTCCTACTACTTACTTTGGTCTGGGTCCATCATCATAGGGCACAAGACAGGGGTAAACCCTGGACAGGTCACAGAGCTCCTGCATGCACACTACACGAGGAGAACCTGTAAGCTCCCCAAACAAAAAGCAGAGGCGGAGTCAAGCCCCCAAACCTGGAGGTCTGAGTGTTATTCACTAAACCAGTGCCTTTTAGTGATGAGCAAAATGACGCTTTCTTTGGGACACAGTTCATTTCATTCAGTTCACTTAAAAGATCACCAACTTGTTCAGTGGCACTACCTCTTTGTATAAAATAAATCTGAAACACTTGTGGTTCGATACGTCAAAAAATAACCCATTATTTAGGCTAAATAGTAGTGCTGGGCAACGATTAAAATCTTTAATTGTAATTAATCGCATGATTTGTCTGATTAATCATGATTAATCGCAATGTTATGCGAAAATTTTATAATGAATTCAAAAGTAGTGTTTTGTGCACTTTATTTTAACCCTCTGGGGTC